CAGAACAGAACAGAACAGAATAACTGAGTTAGAAGGGACCTTGTAGGTCTTCTAGTCCAACCCCCTGCTTAGGCAGGAAACCCTACACCACTTCAGACAAATGGTTATCCAACATCTTCTTAAAGACTTCCAGTGTTGGGCCATTTACAACCTCTGGAGGCAAGTTGTTCCACTGATTAATTGTTCTGTCAGGAAATTTCTCCTTAGTTCTAGATTGCTTCTCTGCTTGATTACCACACATTGCTTCTTGTCCTGTCAGGTGCTTTGGAGAATAGCTTGACTCCTTCTTTTTTGGGGTAGTCTCTGAGATATTGGAACACTGTTATCATGTCTAAGAAAAGAATCTGGATCTTGATGCCTTGTAGACAGAAGCTTTTTCAGCAACCAATGTAATCAGAAGGGAAGCTTAACAGTCATTCAGTCCATGCCTCTCCAAAGGGCATGCACCTGTACCTCTTTAGATGCTCCAGTAGTGGTGAATATATGTAACTCAGAGTTGAACTGCTAGTTTCCTGGGAGCTTCTGATTTCTGATTTTTATCTCAGACATTTTGTTTCATGGTTAGAGTAACATCAGTGCATCACTCTGATGTTACCCAATCTGGCAACGAAACATCAGCGGGAAAACAATCAAGTACAGAGAACACCCATAATTCAACTCCTTAGATATTTCCGTACTTCAGCTCCTAGCAACCACAGCCAGACTAGATCTGTGATGAGAAATGCTGGGAACCGTAGTTCGATAATGTCGGGCGATATACAGCCTCTCTACCCCGTCCAACTATACAGATCCCATAAAAGAGGGCAGGAAGGATGCAATTGCAGCATTTCATGCGATGGCTTAAACAGAAGAGGGAAAACTCCCCAGCTCAAGATAGCTTCTTTCGCTTAAAGCAGGGGTGTCCAAACTTGAGGACTTTTAAGACTTGGGGACTTCAACTCCACAAATGGCTGGGGAATTCTGGGAGTTGAAGTCCACAAGTCTTTAAGTTCTCAAGTTTGGACACCCCTAAGGCTTCATTGGGAGTAAAATTCTCTTGCGATTCTGCAAGCATCATCCCGGAGTTCTTCTCCCTATGCCAGGGTTACCATGCTGATCCCACTCCCTCACCTTTTGCTTTCCCCGCTCCTGTTATTCCGCTCCAACTCACCCCAAAGAGAACGGAGAGACTCACCTGCGGAAAGCGTCCTGCAACAGGGAGCAGTTCGGACCCGCGGAGGATCCCGGGCCGTGGACGATCTGGAACTGATCGGGCGCCAGCCGGAACCTCGTCGGGGAGACGCGGAGGGACTGGGGCAGCGGCCAAAGCGAGCCGTATGGCGTCTCGGGGCTCAAGGACAGCAGCTCCTGAGGTCCCGGCGCCCACCGTGGGTACCGAGACGAGGCTGCCAGGGCCCCCGAAGCGGCCAGGAACAACCCGAGGAGCTCCATGCTCCCCATCATCACCCGCCTGTTAACTCGGCAGCCGAGACCGACAACCGCACCCTCCGCGTCGCGGTCCCTGGCCTCTCAAGAGGAAGGTCCTCCCCGACAGCTCCCAGCCCCTCCTTCTTCAGCTCTCCTGGGATGAGGGGAAAGCTGCTGCTCCCGCCCGCGAAACGCCCCTCCAGGGAAAACGCCGAGCTGCTGCTGCTGCTGCCCATTGGACGGAAGCACCCGCCTGAATCTGGCCGCCGCAGAAGCGGAGAGTCCGTCTGCTTCGTCCCTTCCGAGGTGTCCCGCGTTGTCCGCTTTCCCGCGTTCAGGCCAAGCATCCGAGAAGAGCCGCGGTAAAACACCGCTTGCCCTCTCCTTTGGCCGTTGCTCTGAGTTGCTCCCTTTCTCTTGGTTCTTTGCGACCTTTGGAGACGGGACGGTCAAATGCAATGCAAGAAAAATAGCCGAGGTGGGGGGGGACCCAAATAGGGTAGAATCTTCAGTGATCCGGTTTTTGGAAACCAATCCATATTTCTTCACTGCAATTGTTTTTTT